TTTACATAATTTTAGAAATGTATTAAAAGTACTAAACTTTAATTTAACAGTTTAATCTGTTAAATAAACAGTAAAAATCTGTGAAAGAATTAAAAATTTGCAAAAAATATATATTTTTCAAACAGAACGATGTCTGTAAATAATAAATAATAGTGCAGAGCTGAATGGAACGCACCCCGAGACAAACAGTGATTACAAAGAACTGTTTTTATTATAAAAACAGACGCACTGATTGGCTGTTAGTGTCTCATCATAAAAACACATAAAAAACAGCAAATACAAAACAGGTTCATCATGTAAGAATGTTTACAAACATAAATAAACAATAAATAAAGTCAATAAATCCATAAATCCGTTGACCCACAGGGTACACTGTCTCTTTAAGAGACGTTCAGATTCACACCTGAACACAATGAAACAACTTCCTGTTCACACGGTGACCTGCTCTGACATCATCACTGCTCTGACATCATCACTGCTCTGACATCATCACTGGTTGCTCAACTTGCGGAACTTCCTATAGTGACTCTCCCTGTCTCTCTCTCTGTCTCCCTCTCTCTCTCTCTCTCTCTCTCTGCTGTTTGCCTCTCTCATCCCGTCAGAGTTCCTCCAAAATAAATTCACTTAAACATAGAAAACCAAAACGTGAAACAATATGTCTGCGCAGTAAATATTAATAAAAGTTTAAATGAAATATAAAATAAATTAAATTAATTAATCGGCTGCAGCTTTGTCACTAGAAGCACATTCAAGTTTCTGTGTGCTACCAATAAATATTTACTAATAAAAATAATCAATAAATACAAAATATGATAAATAACAGCCGATAAATACAAACGGATCTCTTCCCAAACATCACATCTCAAATATAAATAAATAAACAAAAACAAACAACAAACAAATATAATGCACTTCCTGTAGCTGCTTCACAATAAAAGCAATTGCATGGTTCTCTTACTGTGAAACAGAAGCAGCAGGAAGTGATCACTCTGAATTGGCACTAATTACACTCAGTTCTGATCAGATGGTTCATTTGATCATTGATTATTATTGATTATTATAAAACCATTAGTTTGAATTTTTTGGTCAAAAAGTAAAAAAATTCCTCAAACTCTCAATCGATTATAAACATGGCTGCCAACTGACTTTCTGTTGATTGATAAATTGATTGACGGACTGATCAAACGATCAATAGCATACACTGTAAAACTTCCTTTAAGTAAAACAAACTCAAAGTGTAAAACATTGTTGGTGAAGCAGCTTTTATGTGTTATTATGTTATAATCAATAAAAAATACTTCATCAATAATGTTTTGAGTTTGTGTTACTGAAACTTTCAGAGTGAAAATAAGTTCCAGTTTTGTTCTGCAGCCGCTGTTGAGAGCAGCAGGTTTCAGGACTCCAACAGGTTCAGACCTGCAGCTCTCAGATTCTCACATTCCTGCTGATTGTGGTCTGAGGGAGTCCCCTCCACAATAAAACTCCTTTCTGTCGCCCTCTGAATCCCAAACAAACACGTCCCAATAAATAAACAATAAATAAACAATAATAAACAATAAATAAACAATAAATAAATCCTCAGCACAGATTGTCTCTCTGGGAAGACGTCTCACTCTGTGCAGCTGACGTACGGCGACATGCGAGGGACAAACGTGATCCCTGTCAGAAAGGTCACCGGAGTTCCTCCCTGAGTTCACGACCTTCAGCCTCCTCAGCAGTGTCCTTGAACGCAGCGTAGTGTGGGTGGAGCTTACAGTGCACCTGCAGCTCTGGGCCTGTAGGTGGCGACGGCTCTCAGGCTGCGGATGAGGTCGTGACAGAAGGAGCGAAGCTGCGTCAGCGTCAGGTGGACCGCCACCTGGACGTCGTAGTCACCGCGAGAGGTCAGGTCCAGACCGTGGTCCTGATCCACGCCACCGCTGGCGCCGCCGAGCTGAGCCGCCTCCCTCATCTACAACAGAGTCAGCTGTTAGCAGCCAATCACAGAGCGGCTGGTGTTAAGGTGAGTGATGTCATGATGTCAGGTGTTACCTTGTTGATGTGCGTCAGCAGGTCTCTGAGGTCGGCTCGCAGGTCGCTCAGTCCGCTCAGTCTGTCAGACAAAACTCCCAGAAGCCCCTGGTACAGCCGGCTGCCCGCAGACATACGACTCACACTCATCTCCTGCAGGGGGCGACACACAGGTAACAACAGGTGAGACAGGTGAGACAGCTGACAGACTGACCAGTGTGAAGCGCTCTGATGGCGGTTTGAGGACGGGCGCCGCGGGGATTCTCAGTGATTGCATCATCACCTGCAGGTTTGCTGTCTGGGTCGAGGGGTCGAGGGTCAAACCCTGAGGAGGACAGGACGACGTTAGAAAAACATGAAGAAGAAGAAAGGAGCCAATCAGAGACGAGCTGAAGCGAATCAGATCTGTGGTTACCTGCGTGTTGACGGTGGCGGCGTGCACGGCGGGGATGTCTCTCAGGATTTTCTCCACCAGCATCTTCGCTCGCTCGGCCGCCTCTCTGAACGCCGGTGGCGGGTTGGACGGCGAGCTGACGGGCGCCGATCGGACCAGAACTGCAAACAGGAAGTAGTGCAGCAGGGCGACAGCTGGAGGCAGGAAGTTGTAAGAGTTGAGGGTACGGAGGCTAAAGAGTGCCGTGTGTCTTTATTCTGGCACAAACAACCTTACATACTTACTGACTCTATTTGAGCTAAATGCTAACAAAAGCTGATTTAATGTTTATACATTTTAGTTCAGTATGACAGCTTTCATTTTCTCTTACTCAGCAGTTTTGGCACAAACAACCCTGCATACATTTTAAAGCTGGCACTAATAAGCCCCCATACTGGCTTTGAGGGATAGAGGTAGAGGGGGTGTGCGCAGGTGATCACGCAGGTTAACGTTTAACAGAAAAGTGGATTTTTTAAATGTAGTTCTGTTACAGTTTGTTGGAGACAGTCAGATCCCATCTGCATTCACTCCTCCACCAAACCCCATGTATATTTCTGCGGATTTAAGCCGCCTCAGTGTGCAGCAGTTTAAACGAGAGGAAAAGTTGGTTCTTACCTATCAGAGAGTTCATGTCTGTCAGAGCGGCGGTCTGTCTGTCGGTCTGTCTGTCGGTCTCGGTGTCTGTCCGCCGGTAAACTCGGTAAGTTCTCTTTCAGCTTCCATTTGCAGCAGTTTGGAGCTTTTATCCTCACTCTCTCTCCGCTGGGGGGTTTCCATTGACGGACACTGGTTTTCCGTCACTTCGGGTTTTATCGGGATGACTCCGTAAGGTTGGGAAACTGGTTGCGTCACTGGAGCAGCTCCGCGCGGTGCGCAGAGAGGATCAGACACACCTGGGGGGGTCTTACCTGCGGCTCTCTAACGTCATACTACATATAAAGTTTATATAAACTTTATTTATACTTTGTAGAAACTTTATATAAAGTAGAGTATATAAACTTATAAAGTATATACTTTATTTAAACTTTATATATACTTTATAGAAACTTTATATATACTTTATATATATTTTATATTTCTCTACTTCAGTGATACACAGAGAGTTTCATTAATGCAAACTAACCAGAGTCCGTAAAGAAATAACGTGTTTTAACATCAGCCATTCACTCCTGCAGGAAGTGTGTGTGTGTGTGTGAGTGTGTGAGTGAGTAAGAGTGCACGCACGCTTTATAATTCAGTCTCACTTCCTCGTGTCGTCACGTTTGTTTATGAAATCCTGGAAAAAAACTAACTTAAGAATCAGTGAGTCAGGACAGGATGTAAAACACGCTGTGTGAAACATAGAAATCTATTATTATAATAGTAAATATTAAGACAATGATAATTATTTTAATTATATTATAAATTAATTTATTCAGAAATATAAATGTATTATTATAATAGTAAATATGAATTTAATGTCTATGTGTTTCTATGTAGGGATGAGGGTCAAAGGTTGTGACCTTTCATGCTCCAGGTGTCTTCTCTTCTCACTTCCCTACAGTGCCAACAGTGGGCAACACTAGCTAACATTAGCTTACGTACTAATTCCTCCTGTGTGGAAACTGACCAATGAACCTGATTCTGATTAATAAACAGTGAATTTAATCATCAACATTTCAGCTTGAAGGAAAAGACAAAACTTTCCACTGAAGTGCTTTTAATCTGAAAGTCTCTTCCTGTTTGCTGAGTGTACCTGCCAGCAGCAGGGCGGGGGCCGACCGTTTGCTGACTCAGAGGATTTTCGGAGGTTATGAAATGTTTCTTTCATCACAGCTGGAGGAGCTCAGACTGCAAAAGCTGCTGGGAAACTGTTTCTGGGTCAGCTGCGATTGATTTGATTTATTTTAGGTTTTATCTGCGGATCAAACTGCATCTGACCTCCGCAACATTCACACATCCTGACCTGCTGTTTTCTTCCTGTATGTTTGTGGATTTATGGTTTTTTTATTTGGTTGTTGATGATTTAAAATGTCAAACTGCAAACAAATAAAACTTTATTCAGATTTTAATTGTAAGTTTTTATTTTTATTTTGAGGTTTGATGATTAGTTTAATGTTAGAAATGTTCACTGAATCAATTTCTGCATGTTTGAACCAGAAGTGTTTATATTCTTTATTATTTATATTTTTATATTGACAAAATGCACCAAACAAATGCAGCAGAATTAAATAAATGTGAAGAAATATGACGTCTGAATATCGACACCTACGACAGGTTCAGTGTTTCAACAATATAAACAACCTCAGAATGAACCAGGGTCAGAATTAAACTCTAAAGACTAATTTACTTTTCTTCTTTAAAAAACTGGAATCTTCCAAAATGTTTAAGGAAACAGCGGAAAACAATTAATAATTGATAATTCATTAATAATAACATACTCAGTTTTGTCATTTTAAGTGATGCTGATTTAATTTTGTAACTTTTATTTGTTCTGTGAAAACAAATTACAGAATAAAAAGTAATTAATCAGAAATGTTTCTGTAGTTATTTAAAATTACTAATAAAAGCTGTTTCATCAAGAATCTTTTTAACTCAAAAAATTGAAGTTTGTCTCACTTCAAATGTTCAATGTGATCCATTTTTATTTATCGTATTGCATTATATTATTATTATTATTGATCAGAGTGTATATTGGAATTATTATATAATAATAATAATAATAATTGATCACAGTGTACAGTGCCAGAGCTTCAGTCTCTGATCAACAGTCTCGTCTTGCATCAGAAAGCAATCAGCTGAT